CCGCGGTGCCCCGGCAGCTCTGTTGCCTATGGAAACAAAGGCAGCTCCCAGGGAGCTCGCACAACAGGCCGCGCCGCCGCCGAGCGCCGCCCGCCTCGGCAGGTGTGTTGCTCATGCACATACATATGTATTTATAATATACATACGCACACAAATAATGTTAGCATAAAATATTCTCTGTAACAGTCCGATATGATCAGATCAGTCTGTTCCCCGCGGCTCAGATTAATTGCGTTGCTTTATTGAAATGACATAATCCCCTTTTAAACAAATTGATATTTGAAATGTAATAAACGTCCAAGCTATAATCATCTGGGTTTTGGGGTTGTTTTTTTTTTTTTTTTTCCTCATCACCTTTTACAATGTAGAGTTAAGTACTCTGCAGACAACAGCTTGGCAAATCTGTTCTCTGCTTAGTCACAAAGGCAGTTTTGGAAGACGACCTTGAACACGGAGCTTTTAGATTCCTCAGGAAATGGATAACGCACCAGAAGCATCCTGCTACAGACTTCCCTCGAAAAGCACTTATTCCTGTGCTTCCTAAATGCCATTCATTTGTGGACCTCCACTCATTCCACAGGCAACGAACGAAAACATCTCAACACCTCTCAGTGCAGGGTTTGCTGCCCTTTTCCCCATGAGAACCTGACTTGATACAAAGGGAATTTGGTCAAACTCAGGATGGGCTGTGAAATGCGTGGTGTCTTCCTCTAGCTACAATAAAACAGACTGTAATTAGCACCTGAGGACACCTTGTTAAGTCCGTTTCTAGAGTCCACCAATTGTCTGTTACCTGCTTATTATTCTTTTCCCTTTGGCTTATGCACGCTTACATCAGTAGGGATGCAAATGAATCAATGATTTAATATAAGCATCCTCAGTTTCACCTTTAAAAGCACCAGCTTATAAACAGTGATAATGCTTCACAATTAGAAGAAAACATTTTTTTAAACTCATTTCTGCATAAAGAATCTAGGGCCAGAGAATCCTAGGAAATGCCATCTGTATAAATATTCATATGCCTCTGAACAGATAACCTTAGAAGCAGATTTGACAGGAAAGACAAAGAACAGCTTCTCCACTTTGCAGTAGATGACTAAGATCATTTGAATGATTTATTGATAAGCCAACACGTAGAAAAAGTTCAAATAGGACAGGTTGGACTTTTTACATACACACACGATATAGCCAAAAAGAACCCCTTTATCCAAGAATACCTAATATTGCCATGAATTCCTACATAAATGAGCACTGTGGGTCCATTTGTTTTGCAGAAAGTTCCATGTGACAGAAAAATATTGACAATCACAGTTAGGTAAGAGTCTGAAGACTACGTTCATTCTTTACTCTTTACTGTTACTGAGATTCCCCCCCCCCCCCCCCAAACTTCTGGAAAGATGTTTGAATGCCAACAAGAGCTTCGTGAAGAAACTTTTTATAAAAAGAAATTCTTTCTATTGAACCAGAATTAAGCCACAACTTGTAACAATATGTTGCCAGTAAATGCAAGACAATAAATTTCAATGTCATAACCACAGGGGTGGGGACAAATTAGACACCTATTCTGACACCTTTCCTGTAAAAAGTGGTACTTACATGAGTAATCCTTTTGAAAACGGTAAGAAGACTCGAGCACTAAGAGCTACTTAATGGAAGGGTGGCATGCTGGAGGCAGTCAAAGCATAAACRTATTAGCTGATAAACTTGATGCTTGCAGACTAGCAAGGAAAGAGAGACAAGGAAGGGTAGATGCACATTCTGTGCAGCAGCTGAACTCATTTTCCTCTTCCTTATTTTGCAGTTGTAAAGGGCACAACACTCGCAAGGTGATAGGAAGGGTCAAAAGTTTCACGAGGGCAATGTCAGCTTCTGGGGGTATTTTTTGGGATAGGAGCAGCTTCAAGAAATACGCGCCACAGCTCGTGCTGCAGAAGCCCCACACACCTAAATCATGCTGATCACGATTCTCTGACTTCATATAATTCAATATATCCTTCCTACTTCATGACCAAGCCAGGCCAGCTGTCGGCCCAAACCTCCTCTCCAGAACTGCACACATTTGCCCACAAAGACTCCTTTCATTTCTCCCTCGACTTGCTTCTACGCACAAAACAACCCCAAGGGTGACGGGGCTGCCAAGCAGCCCTGCTGATTTTAATGAGGTGATGCCTATGGCTAGCAGCTGCCAAGACTAGGGCTTTCTACTGGATACAAGAAAGGAAGGGAGAAAAGACAGCAAACTCTGGAGCAAACCCGACTCTGTTTTCTCAAAGTATACAACTAGGCTCTAGTCTTAAACCCTTAGTTACTATATGGAGGATATGGTGAAAGATAGAGTGTTGCTGCTCTAATAAAGCAAACTGTATGCTGCACTTCAGTGTGAATAACGTAACTATTCTTAATGTTATTCCAGTTGTGTTTGAGATAACTGACCCAGATCAGCACTGCAATAACTACGCAATAGATGCATCTTCTTGGAGACATAGGTGTGTATAAATTAAAGCTAAAGGCCAGGGAGAAACACTTTCCCACAGAGCCAAACACTGCCTTTCGGATTACAAACTTAAGGGTTAGAATAAAAGAAGTGTTTTAAAGAAACGTCCAGCTTTAACTTCAAAAACTATATATAATATATACACACACATATTAATTTCAGTCTGTAACACGAGGGGGTTGAACAAGAGAAAAAAGTCAGACGCAAAAGATATTTGACAAGTCTGACAACACGTGAATGGAACTTAAAGTATTACACAAGCTTAAAAGATTACAAGATAGAAAAATAAAAGTATTCTTAATTAGATAAGCCATCCAATATATTATATAAATCCTAGTAGTAGAATAGCATGAAATTACAACCTCATTTTTAAATAGACTCTCTTAATTCTGTTACATTCTCTATTTCTGATTTACTAAAATATTAAGATAACGGTGTTACTGAAAAATGCACTTCACAGTTGAAAGGATAAAACAAATGGTTTTTCCACCTCTCCTCCTACAAACTGAAGGCAATAGACATGGCTTTACACAGTAAAGATTTTTCTTCTTTAAATTGGAAAATAAGAAAACAAACACTAAGCAAACCAGAAAACAAGAACTGCTGCCACGACTCCGTCTCGCTCCCCAGCCTGTCTCTAACTACGGATGGTAGCTGATGTTCAGGGAGTGTTATCAGAGCGGGGCATAAAGGGAATGACTCTTCCCCAGCTTCTACTGCCAGCTTCAGGCAAAGACGACCTCTCCGTGTCCCTTCCTTCCCTGCTTTCCGTGTCCCTGCTTTCCATGGCTTTGTGATTCTAACAGCTTCAGACAAAAAAAACAGGAGTCATCACCTGAATCCCCAGGGAGTCCATGTGCTCTCTCTCTACATCATAGTTTGGAAAAGAAATRCAAATCCGTAGCACCCCACGAAGCGCAACCACAAAAACTCCATGAGTGATGCCTGCCAGGCCTGAAAGGAGCTCGTGGTGATGGGCCTGCCTCGCAGGCTGCCAGGGCACTCGGCTGGATTTGGAGGCGCAGCTTTGCAGGGGGAGCCCTGGTCCCCACACAAATCGTCTAGGACATCCTGGCAAACAGACAGCTAAAATTAAACAGGTCTTTCTGAGCCAAAAGCATTTGTGACACCCCAGAATGAAGCTTAAATCCATTGCTAAACCCTTAACAAAGTAGACAGCGTCCTAGTTATCTTGGAAGCAAAAAGGAAGCTTTGTGGGGGTTGCAAAGTATCATCAAATGAAAGGTATCAACCCTTCATTCTCCCAAGACAAAACCTTCCAAAACAAAGGCTACCTTGCAATGTCTTTAGGACTGATAGCCCATACAAACACTGCAGAATGACCCAGCCTTGGAGAATCTTCCACAATGACCTCCAAAAGCAAAACAGCAAAAAAAGCAGCCCACAACATCAGGGCCTACCTCAGAAGAGTGCATCCAGGTTTTACATATGCGAGTCATTCTCATCTGCCCTACGGTCCCTTCCCAGAAGCAGAGCTGGTGCAGGTCTGACCACAGGATTAACCAATTATATAAACAAATTTGGTTCTGTGATTTACACTGGGGCAAGGTATAAGTGTGTAAAACTCTGCCAGATGTTGCCCTGGTCTCAGAGGCAGACTAAAAGCAGCAGGCTCTGCCGCTTCTATAGCACTGATTTCAGATAAATCCATACAGGCTTTGAGACTCAAAGGACAGAGACAAGTCAGCTAGGTCATCTGCTGTCTTGCACTATGGTTGTGTGTGCATCAGCACATGGGTACATGGACATGTGTTTACATCCCTGAAATTAATATAAGGCACCCTTGTATGAATATAATATCTAACAGTGTTCAGATAAAAGTACTGCCCACACACTTTGAAACCAGAAGGATCACAAGAGCATCAGACCCCAGAATCTGTCCTACCTTAGGCTTGGGACCACTAGGCTTGGGTTTTCATCTGGTTGAGAGTTTTTTGTTTTGGTCATAGGGCCTTTGAGGTGGGCATGTAGCTGGGATTATCTGAATGAAAATTTGGACTTACATTTTTTAGAATAAATTTCTTCTCAGTGAAATTCACCATCACTTCTCCTATCTTAATGAAAATATCTTTAATATAACATTCATTCATAGATTCCAAAAAGTCATTACCCTCCTTACTACTTCGATAAGGGAAGCTCATAATGAGATGGTTTCATGCAAGAAAGGACCAGTCACTTTCATAGAGTTGCTAGTATGTTTTTATAACTATACATAGATAGAATTTATTAACATAAGGTTTTTCCAAGTACCAGATTTCCAACAACCCCAGATCAGTCAGAACATGAATCAGCCCCTATCTGCACAAGAAGTGTAATTCACTTCAAGATTGAAAATTCTTGCTGAGAAATGTAATGCAACCAAGCTGAATCCAGCATAGCAATTTTGACTGTATTTTCAGTCTCAACCCTCACTTCTTACTGCCTGTTGTGCACCTCCAGGTTGACTCTAGCCCAGTACAGGGCACTGGTGCTTACCTGCCTGCACTGTGGCCATCCTAGAGACGCGTGGACTGCACAGCTCACCTCCCTTCAAGCACCAACATCGAGTGCCTGAAACAGGCTTGTTCCAGCTCTGCCGTTCTGATTGCTGAGCAAGAAGGACAGGAAATCATTACAGTCAAAACATTTCTAAAAAAGGTCACTTTAATACAAAATTACATCAATCACCTTGAAGAAAAAAGCACATTTCAATTGATGTCATTCATTCGTGGGCTAATATCAGCTTTAGTTTTAAAAAGTTAGGCTGGTTCAGGAGAAAAATCATTAAAAATTAACCAAATCTTTCAACAGAGATTTACATCTTGTGCGAGGAGCTAAGAATTGTACGAGTTGTTTCATATGGTAATCTAAAGGGTTGTTTGAAAACTCCTTCTGAGGACATTACTGTGAAAGCAATTTCAGCCCAAGAGCATCAGTTAGAGAAGAAGAATCTGCAGGAAACATTTCTCATTCCTTACTCCAGTCTAGTTACATGCTTCGCAGAATCCAAGACTTTAATTCACATATGTAGTGCTATATAAGTGATACAGGCCAGAATTATTATGCCCATAATTCATAAGTACATATATTCAGGACTATTAGACACATTAGGTGAAGTACCTAACTTTACATAAAATTTTCGGATATGATTATGACACAGCTACATTTTCAGAATCTCTTCTAAATATGGAGAAAAAGCTTTATATGCCTAAAACTTTTAATGGTAAATTCAAACTAAATTTGCAGGAATAAATGAGGCCCCATACTTTCAGCCATTAATATTCCCATCTGACTTCCAAAATCAATAATTAAACTTCCAGTGATCCAATGGTACAGGATCACACCCATATATCTTAATTCACTTTCTATGCCCACATCCATTTATACCAGCGTACATAAGGATGTGCTTAGCTTTAAGTAAGGCACTGAAGGACTTACCCATGTGTTAAACTATTTGCTGAAGGATGGATGGTTTGGAGGCAGTGATATTGCAGCACCCAAAATTCTCATTTAAATGCCATCATACATACAATATAGAGACATAGAAAAATACGGACAAACAAAAAAACATACCTGATTTTACAGCACAAGATAGGCCTCCAATCTCAACAGTTTTATTCTATGTATCTTAATAAGGTCCATATTCTGCAACATTAGAAACTATCTGGTATCCATGGGGATGACTAGGGGAATTAGTCAGCCTCACCAGTTGAATTCAAGTGCAGGTTTTTTTCAGGTCCATGGCTAAATAGCTAAATTCCTCTGTATACTGCAATTTTAACATGCACTTCCTGAAGTGTTTTAATTTTGCGCTCTCTGCAACAAACACATCTCTGTCTGGATTTGCAAATAGTGCTCAAGCTCTTTAGTTTCAGGTCAGCTAAAACACCGTGATTTGAGAAGTCTGGTACAAAACTGAATGTCACTTGATTGCTATTCTGCTTAGGAGTCACTACAAATGATGGATCATGAAGGAGCAGAAAGAAAAACCAGCAAGGAAGAGAATGAAAATGAAGAGAATGAAAAAGAACAGATCGAGAGAAAGAAAAACTCAAAGGTAGAATAAAAATTCTCAGAGAGTGATGTTCAAGGAATGAGGAGCTGACACAGACTACTGAGCTGTGCCAAAGCTGCTTCCTGAGGCTGTGATATCGCAGGGCAGGATCCTTGAGCAGGGATGGCTCTGCATAGGGCTTGCTTCAGGCGAGGTCCACTTGAGCAAAGTTTACATTATCCAAAGAGATCAGGGAAAAAAAGCTTCCTAAAATATAAGTTTGTCAAGCTCTGTAAACCTCCCACTCCACCATGTTATACCTTATTACCCATAGCATGCATGGAGATTCCAAGGACTTCAGTCTCCAGAGTGGCTCTCCCCAAGCCCAAGACATCAAGCTCGCTGCTTTGGGAGCCAAGGCCCCCACATTGCAGCCAGATTCCTGCTGTGCTCTCCCCCTGGAGAGACGGGGCCATCCCAACCTTCCTGCTGGCTCTAGGAAAATCACCGGCACGGAGCAGCACTGCTGGAATTGGAATGATTCCATTCCAGCCTCCCAAGCCTGGCTTTCCAAAGACGACGTTGGTAATTAGCCCTGAACGCTTTATGCGCCACAGAGGAAGGCAGCAGAATGGGTCCAGCAGGCAAGGTCTTTAAAGAGGTTCTGCCAACACTTTGATCACTGAATGAATTGTCTGAAATAATAATCCTGTGAACTCTTGGCTTATTAAAAAGGAAACCGGGGTGTTGTATCAATGAAATATATTTTATTGTGCCCTGTCAATGAGACATATGCTATTATATTATCAAGGTACTGATTCAGACTATAAAATCAGCTTTCCATTTCTCTTAATGAGAGCCTGTACCAAAAGTAAATTACATGAAATTTCAGCACTGTATTTTTAATAAGAATAGGACATTCTGGTTCTCTTGGGTGAAGAGAAAGTTAATACACTATTATTAAGTCCTTGCATTGAGCAGTTTAAGGACTAATATTGACTATCCAAAATTCTACAGGAGCTTCAGTCAACAGGAAGCACAATGGTAGAAACCAAAGACCTTTGGACTGGTAAAAGAAAAAGATATGTAAGTCCTCATGTAAGAGGAAAAGGACATTGCTTAATATTGGAAGAAAGGAAAGGTAAATCAGACAATCACAGAATAAGTAGTAAATCAGAAGTAGAGAGAGAGAAAGAAGAAGAGGGCAAGCCCAGAAATCAAAAATGAGGTGTGTTTTTTGGAAAAGAAGATGCTTTCAAGGCCTCCGTTAAATGGTCAGGAGATAAAAGAAACAAATATATAACTCTATAAGGACAGTCGATGTATACACTGAAAAATACCACAGTACTTGAAAAGAAATGGGCTCTTCCTCCACCACCAGCTATGGGCACCATGTGTTTGGGGTTTTTTGTTTGATTGTTTTTTGTTTTGTAAGGGTCTTGCCTTTCTGTTTTGGCAAAACTATTTCTAGGTCAACATGTCTGTTCATTAACGCTGCATTAGATAGCAATGAAAGGAGATTACAAGAAAAATGAGAACCCTGGGGCCTGCCAGGCCTTTCTGGGATCAATGTTTCTGGAAATGGCAAGGTTACATGAATGAAGAGAATACATCAGCTGATATTGTTATGGAAATTATTTACACTTAAAGAAAAAGACAATAGGGGAATATCTAAAGATATTCTGTATGAAAAAGAATGCACCTGTTAAAAAAATAATCTAAGCAATAATGAATCAAATTCCTCTTTTTTTTTTTTCCCCTCCACATGGCAGGAAGAAAGAGTTGTTAGGGGAATGGAGGAAAATAAAGATCAAAAAAACTTCCAATAGTCTAAACCCTTTTCATATGGACATAGTCTTTTTCCTGGGAACGCAGGGACATGCTGCAGGTGAACCAAAATTGCAAGAAACTGAGCTGAAACCCAAGAACGCAGGAGAGCCTTGCCTCCAGGTAAACACCATCAGTTCAAGGGCAACGTTCCTGCAGCCGGGTTTCAGTGCTCTGTGCAGGGCTACCTGTGCAGAGCAGAAGTCATGTCCAGAAAGTGAGAGCAGGAAGAGCAGCTCTCTTGGCTTCATGGGGAATGGCGAGATGGATCTCCTAGGCCTACACAAGGTTCCTACTCCTCGGAAACAGAGGGCTGGTTTGGGGATTTTCTTTCCCAGTCTCCATCCTGTTATATTGTTAGAGATATGGCCTCTTGCCTTGTACATGTTTTCATTTTCTAACTGAAGTTGTCACCCAGCTGTCCCCAGGAAAGGACCCCCACACAGCAACACACATGCCACAGGAAAACATCAGAGGCCTCTGCATGCTGGAGAACCCATGCTGATTGTTCCTGTTTGCATTCTATTCACTCCAGAACTTGAACAATTTGAAAGAGTTCACAGAGAAAGCAAACAGGAACACAAAGCTGAGAGGGCGATGAGGAGTGTGGCCACAAGGGTTTCAAGAGTCTCACCCATTATGCTGTGGGTCTGAATTCCTAGTTCAGCTAACCTGGCACGCAGAAGAATTTTTCCTTTAAAAGAAAGAAAGAAAGAAAGAACAGAATAAAATAACTTCTACTGAATCTCCAATTCTCATGCACAAAGAAACAAGACAATGCCAGTTTCTCATGTGCTGCTGTGGAAGATACCAGCTCCCTTGTCCACAAGCCCTCCCTTGAAATCTTTGACCTCGGCGCATGCAGCATCTTTCAAGGAGGAAAAGCGAGGGCAGAGACGCTCCTGACAGAGTGCTGTCCCCTGATGCTTGCAGTCTCTGCCATGGACTATCAGAAAAGCAAAGGCAATAGCTGCAGATGTTAAAATACCTATTTTTGGAACAGAATGCTAGGAGAGCACAAAGGAAGTGTCTTTCACTTCCGAAAGGCTCCTCATCAGTAGCCAGGACAGTGATGCACACACTCACCTTGGCCTGCTTTCATTCCTGTCCACCATGCAGCTTGTACCTAATGTCCCTCCCTTTTTTTTAAAACCAATCTCTTGGACACACTTTTAACCAGGAACAACAGACAAGACAGGCTCTGCAGCACTCAGAGGACCTAAAATTTATCCTTGCTTGAAGGTGCAGCATGAGACCTATAATTAAGTTGCATGAAAACCGTACCAGATTCCCTGTTAAACTCTTACTTGCTGAATGCCCGTATGTGTTTCCTTATGTACGGATTGGAGGATCAAGCTGGTGTTTTGATTTCGGAGTGCTGAGACCTCCAAAGGCATAAAAGTATCCCGAGAAGTAAGTGCCAGTTTTGTGCTGAGACTGAGCCCACTGAAGTCAATGAAAAGACTTTTTTAAGCACCACAGGATTTTGCATCGAATTTTAAATCAAGTTCACTGATTTAGCCCTAAGGGCACCTGACTTGAATGGTTACATGGAGTCAGGTGCAGAACATGATTGTTCCATGAGTTTGCAGGCTAAAGAAGATGGTACTTAGCTGAAACCTGCAGTGTTGCTGTCAGGTCCATGGATACTAAGGAAGTGGAGCCAATAGTTCCCTATCATGTCTATGGCTCGCTTCTGGCTACGTCTTGATTTATATCAACATCCTTGAAGCATTATTAATATCACAAGAGGCAGACCTGTCAACAGAAATAAGAATCTTGGCAAATTTGCTCCCACCTACTTTCAGGTTAATCAAATGTGTCATTCATTTCTGGCATTGCCCAACTATAAACATGAAACATGAGAAAACCACATTGCCATTAATTAGAGGCAAAATGAGCATAATTAGAAACAGGTTAGGTTAAAAATCAAAAATGGAGCCTGCACAAAAGCCTTCTATACTCACCATTTACTCCGGCCACAGGTGAAAGCAGATTATCATTCTTTTGTATTACACTGAAAAGGCAAAACAATTAATAGAACGTCATTTGTATCCTGACATTATTTGCTCTGCCAAAATCCATACTCCCATGCATGGCTTTAGCAAAGATCTAACAGAGACACAAACAGGGCCTCTGGGGGAGCCTGACACACACACTAGTGTCTGCAGGGTCAAGACCCAGCTCTATTAGCATCTGCCACCAAGGTTTATTTGCTCTTGTACAAGAGCCTGGACAAGGGCTAGGAATCGCTGGAGTCCTCCTCAGACCCCACTTGCACAGAAAACAACAGTTACAGCCACAGATGCACAAACTGGCTGTGATAATACAGCGTTTAGCACTGGAAATACAAAAATAAAGGGAGATTTTTTTCTTCTTTTACGGTGGAAAGCTTAATTTCATACTTGTATCTTCAAGAAATCTGCAAACATTTGCAAAAGAGGTGGAAGATCCAATCTCACTTTCATAATGAGCGATAAAATGCCCGGTTTAGTGGCAGGACATGCCACTGGCTGGAATACCGATTCCACAGCCACCTTGAGCTTCTGTAAACCAATTTTCCTAGGGGTGCCTAATCTTGCCAAAGAGATAGTGCTTTCCACTTCTTGTAGATGCTTGTTTATGCAAACCTTAAAGACAAGTTAGTCAATTGATTTTCACAACGCTGCAATTAGATATTGATTTATTGGCACCCAAGGGTTGCCGCGCACCTGATGTTAAGAAAATGTCCTTCCATCTGACTAAATTCAAGTAGGAACAGTGGGAACTAGAAATAATCCATAGCCCACAAAAGGGAAACCTATGCTGTATTTAAAAGGTTTAGATTTAGGCAGAAACAAGACAAAAGTTCCAGAGTTCGGGGTGGGGAAGATGTATAGAAAGAAACCTTTAGTAGTGTTTTCTCCAGGAAAAAAAAGGCAGAGTTAATGATTCATGAGTGCATGATTTAGTTTGGAAAGAGTCATGTAAGATTAGTACCCTGGGCTGCCCAAAGCTAAAATTTAACTATCATAACTGTGAGCATCAAGTCTGAAAAGGATGAATGACTAAAAGAACTCAGGAGGGGGTTTCTTTTATTTTCCCTGCTTTGAGGAAGAGGGGAATGTGAGAAGAATACAAATGCACTGATTCACACCTATCTATTAGTCATACCTCTGTTGTGATGGTTGCTTATTCTGTAGACATTCTCTGTTATATAAATAAGGTGCACTGCCTCGGGGCCTAATATAGTATGTCTTTATATCTCTATTTTCTAGTTTTCTTCCTAACCCCCAATCATTTTGCACTTCTTTTCACACATTTGGTAACTCACCTGATACAAAATTCTTTAGCAGGAATTTTAACACAAAAAAATGCGCCRGTCACTAGTACTTTCCAATAAAGTTTTGCTGTCATTTTGTCCAGCCCTTTCCTAACCAAAAAAATGTTTAATCAGTTTTAGAGTAAAAAGCATTTTCACTAAATGTATCCAGAGAAGAAATAGTCTGATATTGCATTCTTTCTTAAAATAGATTATGAGGACAGATGTTTATTTCCATAAATGCTTCATGAAAAGGTCATTTACAATTTCTTAGCCTAGACATTGGGTTTTTTAAGCAGCCCTTTACCTTAACAAGCATTAAACAGCATGYTTTAAACAACAAATTCTAACTGTGACAACAAATTGTCACAGTGAAGGTTTTCTTCTTTTAACAAATTTAATGAAAAATATGGGCTCAGTTTGTTTTTAAAGTAAAAAACAGTTTCCAAGTATAGTAAAAGATRCCCTATGCTATAAATCTGAGCACTCTTCAAAGAAAACATTGCAGAGGGGTATATAGGGCAAAATTCAGAACTTCCTTGTCAGGGACATCTAATCTCTCTGCATATTTTATTTAAAGCTTTGCAAAAGACTAGTCTGCAGTGATGAATAATTATTTTGCTTATACTAGTTTAAATAYTACTACTTCTGTTTGAGTTTTCCATTTTGATTTGCCAGTAATTGCTTTGCAATAAAAGAAAAATTCTATAYGTTTCCTTCACCTAAAGCATGCAAGTTACCATAACACTGGTATTTTTATCCCAATACCTGTTTGTCCCAGGTGAATGCAGCAGAACTCGGGCAATTTAAATAGCCTAACACRCAGTCCAAAACTCATTAGCGATATGTGATTTGACAGGAGGAGCTTCGACAGTGTTATGTGATTGTTTCCACATTAACCTTTACGTTTCAAGTCAAGGGTACAATCACCTTAGCTGATGTGGTTTTGAACTTATTAGTTGTGATTGGGGAGGCAGCGTAACACGGGTGCGCTTTCCCTCATGCTGACACGGAGCTTTCCCAACTCCGGTGCGCGCTCTTCTCTCAACCTTGACCTGAGAAAAGGCGAGCAAAAGAGTTAGTGCACCGCTTTCTCCAGCAAGCTCCTTCTAGAAAATCGAGCACTTTTTTTCCAGTAACAACCTGGGGGACAGACACTGCTCTTTTCTCGTTTTTAATGAAAGCCCAAAGCAGCCCTTGTACCAATGTTGCCAGATCAAAACGAGTCCAAAGCAAAACACACTAAGTTCATAAGTCATTATTCAAGGGAAACAAGCCCTAACTTCACCTGGGGACTAGTCTGAATGCAGCTCCACTGGTGCTCAGGAGGTTCTAGCTCAACTTGGGCGACCATTCACCCAAGCGAGAGCTTCCCAGTGACCAGGAAGAGCAGGTTCATGTGTTTGGTTTATGGACTGGATTATAACCACACTGATAATAACAAATATCACCATGTGCTTGGGGCTACCAAGTTAAAAGCCAAAATTAATACCCCAGGAGACCTGCTTGGAAATCCTCCCCTCCGGCAAACACTACACAGCTGAATCCTCCTGGAGCTGCAGGCAGCAGCAACCACCTCAGCATAGATGGTATGAAATACAGACCCTTAAGCAGGCTAATTCTAGTTTCACTTGGCATAGACAAACTCAAGAAACCTTTCATATTACCCCTCACAATAACCCAAAAAGCAAACAAAAAACCAAAACACCAGAACATCTTATCACAAGTTTGTCAAGACCCTTATTAGCATCAACAGCACTGCAGTCAGTGGGAGACTTTCCCACCAACTTCAATAGACCCTGGATCAAATATTTCGATAGATACTAGGCAAAAATCAAACTCAGACCTCAGGGAAGCATCTTTCTTCATCTGGCTGCTTTTTCATTTGATCTTTGGCCAGGCAGCCATCTGTTGTTTCCAGATTGTCTTCAAGATTGCTATTAAGATATGCATATAGACACACAAATTAATAGYAATCATATATAAATATCATATATATAATGATGACATATCTATATATACATATATGATATATACGTACCATATAAATGCACACACTTTTTTCCCCCTCAGATAAATTCCTTTTCTACATGGAAGGCATCTAGCCTAAGAAATAGTCTTCAATATTTCAAGCCTCTTGGCTAGAGATATCCAACTCCCTGCCCATTTTCATCAGGGGGCACACAACAGATTTGCATATTCTTTTAATTCTCTTAACATTAACTTGAGCCCGTACCAAACAGTTTATTGACTAATTAAAGTAAATCTGTCACAGTGAGATTACCATGAGCCTAAAAAGTTGCCCAGCAAGCACTGTTTCCCCTTGCTATAGATTCAGATGAATAGAAAAGATGAATATAGGTTTGGCTTGGTACAAGATGCAAAGTCAAATTAATGGGGAAAAAGCATCAAGTCACATTTAACAGGTTATGTAATACCTGGTCTAAATTCCTGCATATTCTATTYAAAAATCCCATGCCTTTCTCCTGATTGAAAAGGTTTAGTTTGAGAAAGTTAAAGTTTTAAGGAAGATTTCTGTAAAACAGGGAATCATGCTAAGTTGAAATACCCCTCACCAAGCTGAGCTGGGACAGCTCCCATTTTACCCTAATGACTAATGGGCAGCAAGATTCACTCTTTTTTGTGGTAGAATACAATAGTCAAAACTGAATAAAAGCAAATTATGCATTTAGCATCAAGTGATTAAATAGTTTTTAACCAGACAATAACACAGCAAACCCTGAGCCTTTCGGTGCAAAAGTTAACAAATCAATATTGAGCACAGAGAACAACTGATTAATGACAAATTAAACAATTATAATTATTATTAAACAATTATTTACTGACTAACCCTCTACTGTGATTTGGTGGGATGGGGAAGAATGTGAAAATATTCCCAGTCTATTTATTAAACAGAACAGGAAAYGATAGTTGTAAGAATTTGTTCTCCTTTTCCAAAACTGGACCAAGTTTTCCCTCAGTACAACTTCATGGTTTTGATTCTACATTTGCCTTATCCACTTGCAAATTTTTGAGCCGATACATGATCACGTTTTAGGACAGGACAAGCTCATGCACAGGAGAATTGGATGAACAGCTGCTTGGGGTAGTTACAGTGGATTCCGTGGGCTGCCCAAAGACAAATATATACAGACTAATATATCAGTAAATATTGCTAACTATTGGAAGGAGAAAATTCAAATTCACAGATAATTCTGAGTATCTTAAGACTAAGGTGATCRAAAGAGCTACTAAAAGCACCAAAAAATAAAGTATAATCACTGGCAATAAAAGCCTTCTCCATCGCGCTCTTAGAGACTATGCTAGTTTCCTCCTCTTTCTTCTCTCACATATTTTTTGTCTAAATATATATACACATTAATTATCGAAGCTGCCACACCATGGCAGCTTTCAAAATATAGCTACTTGATTGAAAATATCAGGCAGGGAGCAAAGTCCTGTTTTTTCTGCTCAAAGTCAGARGCAGAGCTCTCGCTGTCTTCAAATGATCAAGCCCCTTCCCCTTCCCTGTTACTCAAGCTGAGTGCTAGACTGATCCACACAGTAAAGGTGCAAGTGCCATATGGTTCCCTGAATAATACTGCATATTCACTTAAAAGTTTGGAATTTTCAGCTGTATTTTGGCCATTTCTCACTTTTTCTTCCACTAGTTCCTTTGTATACAAGTTTGAAGGACTTACCTACCT